CTCTCTCTCTCTCTCTCTCTCTCTCTCCCTCTGTTTATATCTCTTTTGCCCTTTTTAACTCCCAGTGGAGCATAGGCCATCAACATTTCTCCAGTCAGAAGCTGTCCTGTGCATCCTTTTCTAGCTGTTTCCATGATGTCCCCGCCTTTTCCATTTCCGCGTGTACCGCTCGCCTCCATGTCATTTTTGGTCTTCCTTTCTTACGTTTTCCTTGTGGCTTTGATGTGGAATCCACAAGGAAACACAAATGCACAAGCGTATGATTCCACCGCGTCGTGATAACAATAATGCGCTTTGACGTACCAGGCTCGTGGCCGGTCAAGACCTGGTGACCATTACATTTAGCACAGGCTACAGAGGCGCCCGTTTAGATAACGCTCTGTTTGTTTTAGATAAGCGTACCATTGGGCTCCCTCTCTCTCTCTATATTATTATTATTAATGTCTTATTACTATTATTCATGGTATACCATATTATTTAATATTATGTATGTGCAGTTTGTTTTCTGGGTGGTTGGGGAGGGGTGGTCCCGCTTCTCCCTATCTCCAAATCTACGAACCTATTTGTTAAATAAAGATAATCGTCGATAATAATAATAATAATAATAATAATAATAATAATAATAATATAATAATATTAATAATAATGATAATAATAATAAGTGGGTGGTTGGCGGGTGCTCTGGTGTGGTATGTTTCTTCTTCCCTATCACACATATATTATAATTATGGTCTTTATCTCCCCTCCTTCTTTTTTGTGTTTGCTACTTCTTTGTAACACCTCTAATCGTCGGCACTTATATGACCTTATTGTGTTGCAAGTGCCGTAAAACTCTTACTAAAATATAAAAAAATAATGATAATAACAACCACAATAACATATCTGTCATCATCATCATCATCATCATCATCATCATCATCATCATCATCATGATGATGATGATCATCATCATCAAGTGCTAGATCTGCGACAGACATCGGCAATCATTGTTCTCTCTTCATTCCTTTGCTCGGATGCTCTTTAAAAAAGCTACATAAATAGCATCCTGATCTTTCCCCGTCACCCATCTATTTAGGTTCTCCAAGAAGGTTGCTCTGAGCCTTTACTTTAATTTTTTTTCAGGTGTCACGAATAAAGCATTTATTTGTCTTTTTCTGATTGTTAAAATCCGCCAGCGGTTCATGTGGGCAATTTCAAGCACTCTCATTTGATTTCTTTTCATTTCAAGAAATTCCCTGCCATCTCCTAAGAAAACAGGTTTCCGTTTTTTTCTATTTTCTTTTCATTGTCTTATTTGGTGACTGTCCAGCATTCACAGCTACAGAGGTCTGATCATTCATAACATTTCAGAAATTTATTTTTGGTAGTCATTGAGATGGTTTTGTGGTTGTTGTTTTTTTTAGGATTAACCTCATTTATTGAAACTATCTTTAGAAATTCTTCGTTTTACTTCTGTGGTACATTTGGCAGACATTTAAACTATTCAACTTTTTAAAATCTTTTGACCTTTGCTTATGAGATAACAAACAGGATTTACTGATAAAAAAAAATCACCGTACATTCTGTTTTCTTCCCATTTAACAATAGCCCCTCACGTTCACTTTCTGTTACAATAGTATCAAGATGAGATTGACGTTCCTTTTCTGTGCCTGCTATTAAAACTGTGTCATCGGCATTATATCTGATGATGATGTTGATATTTTGGCCACTCACTTTGAGACCTGGACATTCTTCTACATTTCTAAGGATTGTTTCTCTGTATGACAAACAGGTCTGGTGACAAAACACATCCTTGCCCCATTCTTCTTCAAATCTGCAGATGTTCGCTGTAGTCTTCACCATAATATTCACAATTATAATGAGAATAATAATGCTGTTTTTATTATTGTTATTGTTATTATAAATATTACAGTGCTATTAT